TTCACCATCCATCCTGATGCTGCCAATTGGTCCAGTGGTGAGAATCTTTGTCTTCTTGACATTGAGCCTCAATCCATATTGTAGGCTGCAGTTCTTGACACTCTACAGCAGGCGCTTCAGGTCCTCTTCAGTTTCAGCAAGCAGGGTTGTGTCATCCGCATAACACAGGTTGTTGATAAATCGTCCACCAATCTTGACCCCACATTTCTCCTCATAGAACCCAGCCTCCCGGATAATCTGTTTTGCATATAGGTTGAAAAGATATGGAGATAGGATGCATCCCTGGCGTACGCCCTTCCCAATTTTGAACCATGCAGTGTTCCCTTGCTCTGTTCTGATGACTGCCTCCTAGTCCAAGTATAAGTTTCGCATTAGAACGATCAAGTGTTCTGGGATTCCCATTCTTCTCAGAGTCAGCCATAGTTTGTTATGATCTACACAGTCAAATGCCTTTGCATAGTCATTGAGTAACTGAACATTTAAAATAGGAAAAAATATATAAATGTATTATATTACTTTTAAAAGGATGTAAATCACACAAAAGAACAGAAACAGAATATGTTAAAAAAAAAAGTGTCTCCCCCCAAAGGGATGATGTTAATATAAGAGAAGTAGGGAGAAAAAAGAAAAAAAGTTCAAAGGAAAAAAGTTGGTTAATAGCCAGCAGAAGGAAAGAGAAGAAATGAGGCCACATCATTAATTTCAGTAAGTGCAAATAAAGTGAATTCATTGGTTAAAAGAAAGAGAATCAGGTTGATTTAAACACACACAAATGTAATTTATCAAGAATCATGTCTAAAATTTTTCAAAAAAATAGTGTGAGCAAAAAAAGAAAAAGACAACGTAGGAACATACTTCTCAGAGCATAGAGTTCTATTGTTTCCCAGATCATCAACCGCAGGATTAGCAGGAGCTTAGATCACAGGTTCAAACTATTTCATTAATACCTCAAAATTAAGCATTTATGGAACCTGGATACTAGCACAGACTAGGTCTGAAATAAACTAGGAAGAAAGTTTGGATGATCTACTAAGAGCCAGCCAATGAAAACCCAGTGGACCCCAATGATTGGCTCCACAACAGGTCCATGGGGATGGAACAAGAGCAGGCCGTGTTTCATGCCATTGTGCATCGGATCACCATTAGTCACAGAAGTCTGATGGCATGTCACCATGACACCAGCTGCCTAAGGCTTGTGATTCCCTCACAGAACAGAGGTGAAGAACAGGCAGGTTGTCCACAGATGTAAAGGATATGCAGTGATGAGCTTAGCTCCCCAGCTCACTCATGGTGTGGAACTCCTGGACTTTGACAGCAGTGTTTCTTCCTATTTTGAGCCCATAATGTTTCAAGTGCATTATGGATATAGAAGGGTTTGTAGGCTACGAAAAATTCATCCAAGGAGCCTTGGTGGCACACTGGGTAAAACACTAGGGCTCTAATGGAAAGATCAATAACACCAGTCACCTAGAGTAAGAAGGCTTGGTAATCTGTTCCTGTAAAGATTCTTCCTCTCTCATTGTCCTTAAATTAGAAGCGACTCATAGCTAACCTTCCATTGAGTTTCTGAGGCTAAAAATTGTCTGGGAGGAGACGATCCATCTTTCTCCCATCCTGAGGAGCTGCTGGTGGATTCAACCCATCAGAGAGACATGGTCTATGGGTTAGCAGTGCAAATCCCTCCAGAATAGGCTCCCCGCTCTAAAGGCTACAGCCTAGAAACTCCATGGGAAAGTTTTGCTGTGCTATACAAGGTCACTATGAGTCAGAATTGCCTTGATGGCAACCATTTTGTTGTTTGACTTTTTTTTTAAATTTTTTTTTTTTTAATTATGGACCAAATAAGAAATCCACTGCACTGAATAACTGTTCAGTCATAGGCACCCACTTTGCAGGAAAATTCCTTTGTTAAAGTTGCCGCAAGTGACGGCAAAATGTGTTTTTAAGCACGGTCGTCAATTTAAAAGTGTGTGGCAACGTGTTTAAATCACCATAGACCTGCAACAGCTGTAGCTCAGAGAAGCCCCTTCAAATAGTGGAGGGTCTAGACCACAGCTGACTAGCCAGGAGCAAACTCCCCAAGTGTTCTGTGAGAAGCCAGACAAGTATCTGTCCTACGGCTTTAGGCCTACATGTGAGGTGTCCCACAAATCCCTGGAGGGGCTTGCGGACCTCATAGTGGCAGAAGTCCGAGGATGGCAGAGCAGAGATCAGGGCTTCCTTGGCCTTTGTACGGTCCTGGCCACGCTGGCTCCCTGAGGCCAGGACTGCTTGCTTTCTGAAGGTGTCGGAGCTGACCAATGAGCTCCTGTGATGGCAGAAACCACTTCAGGGGCTGGAAATGGAAGCTGTAATTATAGGAGGTATAAAACCCAAACTAAACATAAAACCACAACAAATTCCCATACTTGACCCTGTGTCCCGAGAACCAGGGAGAAGGAAGGGGAGCCTTTTACCCTCCCTGCGGAAACAGGGCAACATGAAAAATGGCTGTGCAGCCAGGCCGAAAAGGAAACAGATGTGAATTTCTTTAACTCAAAAGCTTAATTGTTCTGACGTTTTCCATAACTTAATCTGAGCCATCACTTCAGCTTTAATTATGCATAATGAAATGGATTATTTACAGTAACTAATATGACAGGAAAAATGAAGAGGTGAGAATGGGGAACATAGCAACTGTCTATCCTTCTGTTTACTCAGCCAGTATTTACTGAGCACCTACTATGTGATAGCACCCTGTCGAGGTCCTGTGAATGTCCTAATATGGGCAAAGGAGTAATTCTGAAGCACATGCTTTGGGCTCATTTCTTTAACTTAATTATCTAACACTCCTTGCAATAAGACTATGCTAATATTATATATTTGATGTGTAAAAGCAGAACTGAGGTTGGGAGAGGCTAGGCAACTTACCTAAGATCACACAGCAAAACGGATTTTTTTTTCCAGCCAACTACTTCAGACAGAAGAACCTATAATGAATATTGCAGATATCACGCACAGCTTTTCCTGAGGGAAAGGTTACTTGTTATTTTAAATAAGAAAGTGAATGATAGTAAAAATCGAGCTTTGGGGAAATCACCTAGGAGCATGAATTGAGGTGATTGAGATGCCCTGGTGAGCTGCGTTTGCAGCTGTCTAAGAGTTAATAAATAGCATGGTGGTGGAAAAGCTGGGAAAGTTAGACACTGGGAGGCACTGTGGAGTTTAGAAGGGACTTGGTAGGTGGGAAGCAGGAGACTCTGAGACCCAGTATGGCCACGGATCTGAACCAAGTTATTTCTTCTTTACAAGCCTGAGTTCCCTCACGCATAGCTGTTTAGCAGTTTCAGGAGTCCTTGGGTGATGGCAAATATGTTAAAGCACTCAGCTGCTAACCACAAGGTTAAAGGCTTGAATCCACCCAGAGGCACCTTGGAAGAAAGGTCTGGTGATTTCCTTTAGAAGAATCAGCCACTGGAAGAATGGGGAGCAGAGTTCTGCTTGACATCCATGGGGTCACCAGGTCTCAAAAACAACCCAACGGCTGTCTGTCAACCCTTTCTGTCTGTTTTAAGCAGCTTCACTCAAGGGCACATTCAATGACATTTTGAATCTCTTTTGACTCTTCCTTTTTCGTTCCTTAATGACATTTTGCTTTCTGGCTTCTCTTGTCCACACTCAGGACAGGACAGTTGAAAATCAGCATCTGAAACTTAAGTCTCATTCCCCACTATTCCCTCTGTTGGACTCACCCACCCAAGGCTTCACAGCTGGGGCTGCGAACCTCGCATGTGGGAGGTATGACCTGCTCAGAGATAACCCATCTCTTTGCCTTCAAGGCCTGGATTCTCCTTTGGGGTGGAGAGAAGGAAAGGCTTGAGGGAAAGGGATCAGCTTCTCTGGCCAGCTGGCCATTATTGCTGTCTCTCATTTGCTTGTGGTTGTGTGGCTCATAGTGACCAGACATTTTTCACCTCGGTGAGGCAGGTGCCAAATGCTGGTTCACTTGTGGGTCACAGGTATATTTTGTTAGGGGACCTGTGGGGACGTCTGGCTCAGAGCCCACCTCCTTCGCCGCTGCCATTGATCTTGTGCTATAAGCCTTGGGCTCTGGGCTCGCTCCTCACAGGGAGCAGAGCCTAAGTTGAGAGAGGGTTCAAGTCCATCTACTACTTATCCTACTGCTCCATCATCAACCTCTCTCTGCCTCCAACCCTCCAGTGCGCCCTCTCTTTGTTGAAGAAAGACTTAACTCCAATCTGTGTTTCACTCACTAAGCCCTGTGGCTAGACTATGCTGTGGGGGGATAAAAGCATTGTCCTGCCCAGAAGATGCCATGGAGGGACTGGCCATGTGGACTCACTACCTCCCCCCGATGAATAGACATCTCACCATCCCATCATTTTCTTCCACAGACTCTTTGGAGGGCTGGGATCAGGGCTACAGCCTGGATGGAGCCAAAGGTAATGTCTCTCCCCAGAGCATACAATAAGGTGAGGTCTGGCCCCAAGTTGTTGGCTCCTCTCATGCGAATAAATGCCAGTTGATTTACAGCTCCGAGTCCTGCCCTACCATTCAGGGCAGCAAAATACCACCTCCCTGTTTTTGCCTCCTGGAATGACATCCCCGCAGACCACAAAGCTGCTAACACCACTGTGGATGCCTTACACCTTTGCCCAGCCTGTCCAGCTGCTCTTCCTTACTCTTTTGAGCTTTCTTCTGGAACACTCTGGTAGGATTCATAGTGTGTATGGACTTTAAAGAGGGACCCTGAGCTGACTGGGACAGGAGGTAAAGCTTCTCCGGTATCATGAAGTTGCAGAAGCAAGTAATCAAAGAACAAACAAGCCTGCGTTGTTTTGAGTCTCCCTTGGTTACCAGGAGAGTTTTGTTAGATTTACTGCATGGCAACAAAGCCAGATGAGGAAGATGAGCAGCGTCAAGAGTGAATGTTGGGTGCCAGGCAAGATTTAGCTCCTGAATAACACGCTGCAAGCTCACGCAGAGGTGAAGGCTTAGATATGCAGGAAGGCGTCATTCTCCTGCTTCTCATGAGTGCTGTGTCAGGTAGGAATTCCATTTTGTTACTAATTGTACTTTTGAAATATTCGTCTCTTGGCCTGATTTATTTGCATGTCTGTTGTATGATAATTCTGGGAAGCTTAGTTTCAAATATAGGTTTGCCTGCAACAGGAAGTGAGATGGTACAACTCCAAGGGGTCTTCCTCCAAGAGGAGGCAGAGGTAGGGGTGCCCTAGAAGCGGGCCACACAAAGAACCACAATCAATGGATGGGGCGAAGAAAATGGGAAGTATCTTTTGTAAGAAAACAAGGTATTAAAACTTTGTAAATAAATCAGTATTAAAAGAAGTAAAAAAAAGAAAAAAAGCACCACAATCAAGTCTGTGTTTTGGTATAGACTTCCCTTTGATGTTAATTGACCTACACCAGAAGTCCTTCAGACTTCTAAGTCTTCTTAGATTGGGGACACAGCTTTTATTTGGGGTTTTTTTAAACATTGCGATTTTAATGAAAGTTTACAGAAAAGTTGAATTTTCATTCACTGACTGCTGCACATTTTCATCCCTATCCCTCCCTTCCCCTTCCTTAGTTGACTTTGTTTTTTTTTAAACATGCATTCATTGTTGGGATTTCCTCCCTCCCTTCTCCCTCTTCCCCAATCCACTTTGCTATGCACCTCTTATTCTGGACTGTTGTACAAATAATGCCTAATCATATGTTCTTTTAAACAATACTCTCTTTCATACATTCCAATGCAGTGTTCATTATCTATCCTCTCTTTTCCTATTTCCCTCCAACTCTATCATGTCAGGCCTGTTTCATAACGGTGGTGTTGTGCAGTATTTGTCCTTTTGCGACTGAGTTATTTCACTAGGCATAATGTCCTTCAAGGTCACTCATGTTGTGTAATGAGTTTCTTGTTTTTCAGTGCTACATAATATTCCATTGTATGAATATGCCATAGTTTTTCTATCTATACATTTGTTGATGGGCACTTGGGTTGCTTCAATCTCTTTGCTTTTGTGGACAATGCAGCAATAAACACGGGTGTGCATATATCTGTTTGGGTGGCAGCTTGGATTTCTTTAGAATATATCCCTAGTAGTGCAATTGCTGGGTCAAATGATATTTCTATTTCCAACTTTTTGAGAAAGTGCCAAACCACTTTCTGTAGTGGTCCCACCATTTTACACTCCCACTAGTACTGAATAAGGGTTCCAATCTCTCCATAAGCTCGCCAGCATTTCTTGTTCACTGCTCTGTTGAACTTTGCTATTGTTACTGGGGTGAAATTATATCTCATAGTTGCTCTGGGTGACATAGCTTTCATAGTAGAGTTTTGTGTGGATGTCAAGCCAATCTTTATAGAGATCTTTGTCTTTCATGTGGGCAAACTAGAGAATGGCAAATCATCCTGTGGATAAACTGAGGTGCTGAGGAGATACCAACCTGAACTTAAAGTATCTTTTGATAAAGGAGCCAAAGATTCGGTTAAGTACTTCTCAGCTTCCATCATTTTTATTCAAGAGATCCAAGCAACATAACAACAACAATAACAACAGTTTAATTTAGTGGAGATCTAGTGGCCTACAGGTATGATGTTGAACCACCAACCCAAAGGCACCTGGTTTAAGGCCACCAGCTACTCTGTGGGTGAAAGTTGGACCAACTTCCCCTATGTCATTTAATGCAGCTAAAAACCTGCTGTAGTGGTCAGCTATGGGCTGGTTCCAACTCCACGGCTGTTGATTGTTTTAAAAATGAACTGCTCAACATGGGCATTTAAATTTTCATTAACTTCTATCCTGTCCTTTCCACTTTCCATTATGAAGAGGGAAATGGAGTACTTTTTCTTTGGAAAACAATAGTGTTCTCTTCCAACAATGATTTACAGATGTCCCGCAAGAACATAAAGTGCACAGACTCCCAATTGTATCAGTGAAAAATGTGTTGTATGCTGTTGAGTTAGAACTGACCCATGCTGACCATCCACAGAGTTTACAGAGGCAGTTAGTTCACAGGAGGAGATTGCCCACCCATCTCCCACGGAGAAGCTGCTGGTTTCAAACCATGTTCCTTTGAAATCTCAGCACAGCTTCTTACCACTAGGCCACCACATCTTCCTAGTGAAAAACAAGTGCGACAAAATCATCATCTGTTTTGATAAGTTCCAAAGGACCATGCAGGCAGAATTTGTAGAAGACAGAGGCTCGAGGGGGTGTTTAGTACTGGCCTTTGACATATTCATGCTCACTGCAGACTGAAGCTATCTTTCTTTTGGAAAAAAAAATTCTAGGGAGCTAAAATTTTTATTAGTCTCGGAAATGAAGTCCTTCAGTGGTGAAAATGGTTACGTGCATTCAGTACCAACTGAAATGTTGATGGTTCAAACTCCCAAGAGGTTCCATGGAAACAGGCCTGGTAAACCGATTCTAAAAAGATCACAACATTGAAAACCCTATAAACTCAACACAACTTGATGCCATCTCGTCAGAAATGACTCATAGCTGACCATCTAGTGAGGAAACTGCTCATCTTTCTCTTTTCAAGCAGCTGGTGGATTGGAATTGACTGCTTTGGGCTAGTAGCGCACTTCATACCCAGGAGGCCACCAGCAGTTCTTCTCTGAACATATAAGGTGACAATGAGTCAGAATCAACCTGATAGCAACTAACAATAGGAAAATGATGAATGCCAAAGTGGTTAATTAAAGAAGGACTCCTGGGAAGAGCTGCAAGAATATGAAAAGGAGTCAAATCAATCATTCCATGTCCATCTAGCTGCTGTCATGAGACCATCATAGATTTCTTCTGGAAGTTTCCATATTTCTGCAAAACGATGTCAAGGTGGGAGTTGAGTGTATGGGGATCATATGGTAACTACCTTTTCTTCTGTGTGCTAGTAAATTCCCTCTTCTCTTTATTATCCTTACCTGGTAAAAGAGGTAGTTGAACAAGCCATCCAGAAAGGTATCTATCATGGAAATGAAAGACTTAGGAGGAAGCTACATATTCCAAAACAATGGAAACAGCAGTATCCTATGGTTATTTATAGCCAACTAACCATATGCATTTTCCTCTATGGCACAAGTGTTGGGAGAGGTGATGTCCCAACATGTTTTTGCTAAAGTTCCTACCTAGCATTAAACCCTGATCAAAGCAGGAAACACACTGATTAATCATGTTGTGTTTTAACCATGGGTGTGAAGAGGACCAGAGTGGTGTGTACCAGTTTGCAGACAGTGTTTATTGAACACAGTGAGATGGATGGATTGCAGCTGGTCTCAGTGGGGTCCCTGGAGAACTTTGCTGTTGAGGTGGGAGTATGCCTATGTGACTAGAAAAAGATGTGGAATCCTCAGTGCGGGGTCTATTTTGGGATCCCTGGGGCAAGATATTCCATACAACCATCCTGTTCTGAGAGAGCCGTGAGGCCTGCCATGACCCAGAGTGATGGGAGACAGGAATCTCCCCCTAGTTTCCCAGGACCACTCACTGAGAGGTAGCCTTCAGCTATGACGTACATGCCCACTTTAGTGCTGTTGCTATGCTCAGTCCTTTCCCTGCTATAAACTGCAGATATGTAAGTGTTGGCTTGTAGGATCCTAAAAGCCTTTAGCAATAAAATCCTACTTAGGAGTCACTGTTTGCACAGCACTGCAGTCTTAAGAGAGACGGAGTTAACAGGTGACCAAAAGGAATTTAGAAACCAGTGCAAGGTCCAAGTCAAGTAGTGTCAGATCAGATTTAATTGAGGAAAAGGCTCTAATAACAAATTCTGTATTATTAGAATAATTCTGATTTCCTCTCCATTGGAAGATGGAGAAAAGACTGAAATTGTCAACTATTTCATTTTGTTTGAATTCACAACCAACATGCATGGTAACAGCAGTTTTAAAAAATCAAAATAAAAAGACATATCACAAGAAAGTCTGTTGTCAAGGATCTCTCCAAAGTGCTTAAGAGCAAAAATGTTAGTTTAAAGACTAAAGTACTCCTAATCCAAGCCATGGTCTTTTTAATTGCTTCTGAAATTTGAATCATTAATAAGGATAACATAGGAAGAGTCCAAGCCTTTGACTTGTGATATAGGAGAAGAGTACAGAGTATCTCATAGACTGACAAAAGAACAAACAAATCTGCCTTGGAAGAAATACAACCAGGGTGTTCCATAGAGAATAGGATGGCAAAACGTCATCTTTCATATTTTGGGCATGTTTTCTAGTCTTTGCAGAAAGATCTCATGCTGGGGAAAGAAGGTTGAAGGTCAACAAAAGAGAAGGCCTTCAACAAGATAGATTGATATAATGACGGTAACAATGGGCTCAAACATATTAGGTAAAGATAGTGTGAGGTTAAATCTGTTGTGCATAGGGTCACCATGAGTTCAAGTCAATTCAATGGCACCTAACAAGAGCAGCCACGTTGATTAGTTACTAGAGAAAATGTTGTTATGAGCTGTCAAGCTGGAACCAACTGATAGCTCACCCTCCAGTGGGTTTTCAGACTGTAAGTAGCATAGGAAGAGATTGTACAGGCAGAACAACTTGTGGACTCGACCTATCTGCCTTTGGGTTGTCAGTGCAGCTCCTTACCAGTGAGTCACCAAAAGCTTCCTACTAGAAAGAGTAAAGAGTAATGGGTAATGTCTAAGGCAATTTACTGTTTTGAGCCCTGAAAACAGAGCAATGGTTAGAACTTCTGTACCCTGTGGAGGAAGAAGAGGGCATCACCCTGTACCTTTCTTGGGCTACATCATGACTTTTGGAGTCAGTGGCCTAGCATGGTCACAATCTTCACTTGGAATTGTGGTCATGGAGAGGTCTTAATTATTCCAAAGCAAGCTCTCATAAAGAGGCGGCATCAATCCATTTCTGGCATCAAACTAGCATGTATCCATCCAGATCTCAACAGCAAGCGAGATGTTTCAGTGGGCACAGTGACTGATAATAAATCTTTTTGCATGCTGCTTCGCTTTCAAAGTGCACGCTTCAAGCAATCCTAATTTGATTCTTAATTATGATGCATGTGTAAGTCAAATTCCATTAAAGCCTCTCTCCTGCTTCCCAGCACTCAGGCCATCAAAGAAAGCTTGGAAGACCAGCCTTGGAAGAAAGAAGCATGTGATGTCCCTGACTCTAATCTCTCTGTCACTGCTCAGCTGTGTAATCTGGGTACATCCCTTCAATTTATGTGTGCCCTAAATGGCTTACATATGAACTTTGTGAATTCTGCATATAAAATTTTGATCTATTTTTAGGATGTGACTTATTGTCATTGCTACCACTATCAATGTCCTACAACTACTATTTTTTGATAGCAAGGAATCTGGAGGAACAAGGCATTGAACTAAGAGCCAGTAAGTCCAGGCTTGGTTACGTTTCTTCTGATTAGTATTCCTCGTGGTACTTAGCTTACAATTTTGGGGGTTGAGTTGTTTGACCTTCTCCCTGGAAAGAGAGGTGACCAGAAGAGTAGAATGTCCCCAGTAGGAAGGACACAGTCTGGTTTTGTTTATTCATGGAAAGGGCAGTTCCCAACACAAATAGCTTGAGGGCCATTGTATGGATCTACTTCTCTTCCCCAAATACCTCCCTTACTGTCATGCAAAATATGGCCATTTGAAGGAGGACAATGGAAAGTTGATACATATAAAGAAACAGCATGAAACCAGGAAAGAATTCTGCTCTTAGAGTCAGTTGGCTTGGATTGGAATGCTGGTTCTTTGTTGGGATTAGTCTTTCAGACCTAGGAGTCTTGTCAAAGTAGCAATTAACAAAATGCTATCAGAGGATAACATTTTTAGTAAAGCAAACCAGGAGCTGTGCTGAGTTATGTTTAGAGAACATGACTTCACTAAACGTCTCTACCCCCAGGAGAGATACTCTGTTGGTGGCTGCAGTCTTCTGCTTTCAAAGTGAGGTTGAAAATGCTCAGAGTGGAGGCTTCGCAGACCTGTCATAAACAAGTTCACATCAAGCTAATGCTTCAGCACAATTCCCTTATGCTATTCCCTTATAGGTCACATCATTCAGCTCAACCATCTGAGTTGAGTGGGTTTCTAGTGCCATCTGGCTACACTGTTCCCAAGGTACAAAATAACCACAGGACAGGACAAATTGACAATCACATAACAGGTAGGGAGCAATACCCATAGTGAGTGTGTGCAAGATCAAGATGAGGTGAGCCAGAGATGGGCCCATCAGAGCCCATTACTGAGTTACTCAAGCTCTCTGAACCCCCTTGTTCGCATGCGTGAGTGATATCTGCACCAGGGGATAAGCACTCCCACAATGCCTACTGGGCCGATGCTTAGTCAACACAAGTGGCTACTTATTTTCCTCTATTCTTCCCAGTCAGTCTCACCCCAAGCTATTCTGGAGAAGAACTACTCTTGAGTGGCAAGTTATAACTTTGCTTAAGAAGAGCTTCCTTTCTCCTTGACTGAAAGGACACAAGTTATCAGAAAAAGCGATGTATGACTGAGAAGGGGCAGGTCCTGCAAGACAAAGTGCCAGGCTTTCATTTCACTGTCATTGTCCTGGTAAGCAGCAAGGGTACATTCTCATGCACAAGTCAGGGGAATACGGTGGCAGTTTTTCCATTGTGGAAAGGAGGGTGTGAGGGAATTATGCCTGAAAATCCTAACCCACCAAGGAAATAAATTATTATGCTTGTTTTGAAAAGCTGAAAAAAATTTTGTCTCTATTGCAAACAGTGTTTTCTTACTGGTTTAAATTTATCATAACAATGTTATGGTTTTAAAGTCAATTTTAATAGAATTTTTTAAAAAAAACCTTATTAATGTTTCCATCACCCTAAACCTCACCTCTTTTGAGATTTCAGAGTCCTTGCATAGTCTTTGTTCATAAAACTTGATAATTCTGCAAGGAAAAGGAACTTACGCATGACACATTTTTTAGGGAGCCCTGGTGGCCTAGTGATAAGAAGATGTGCAGCCATCTCAAAGGCACATGGTTTGAATCCATCAGCTGCTCAGTCTGAGAAGGATGTGTTAGGCTATGGAGCTCAGAAAGAAGTCAGAGAACAAGAGATAAAGCTTAAAAGCAGCTTTATTGGGGGCGGGGGGCTTCCAGGAAAGGTTCCTCGTTCCAAAGATGTGGAATGAGGAAGTCGTCCTTTGAAAATATTAGGGAGGATTTTTATAACAGGGTCTTTAGGGAGCAAAGGGGAAGGACATTCCACTATGATTTATGCTTCGTCCACTAGTTCGGCTAGGTGGGCACTCTTCTTGTTGACGTGTGTAGTCTTCAAATTCTTCATTCTCCCTGTTGGTCCCCCTCTCCAGACCTAAAAGGATGACAGTCTCCTCCTATGTGATTTACTGCCTCAGAAAGTCCTCTGGAGAGTCAGCTATGAGCTGGTTCCGACTCAGTGGCACACAGCAACAACAATGCATTTTGGTCTCTACACTAAATAGAATGACTTTAGATTTCTGAAAGTTTGTGTCAATAATGTGCTTATTTCTATTCCCCCCACCCCAATTTTACGTTTTTTTCCTGGTCTTCCCCCATCCTCAAACTTAAACAAAAATATCTTTTTATGAAATTCAGCGTTTTCCATTGTTTGTCTATAGAAATATCACATCTATCAGTAGGACAGACCCTTCCACTCTTCCTCACAACCCCCATGTTCCCAGTGGCTGGCTGCCAGTGGCCAGGTTTGTGGGGTACGGGAACAGGAGTCTGCTAGTAAGTAAGTAATCCTTTCAAACTGTGATGACACCTAATGTTGTTGTTGTTGGTTGTTGAATGCTATCGAGTTGAGCACGACTCTTAGCAACCCTATGAACAAAAGACCTGACGCCTTTCTATAACTCTTGTCATGTCTCAAAGTTCATAGACCTAATGTTGTTGATGACAATGATTGCCTTCGGGTAGAGCACGACTCATAGTGACCCTATGAACAAAAGCCCTGAAGTCCCTCCACAACTATCGACATTAATCAAAGTTCATAGAGTTTCTGGAGGCTTGCTGTTTAGGAAGTGGATGTCACTCCTGCTTCCAAATAGACCTAACAGTGCTCAAAAACGAACATGCTCCCAATCAGGGGAGAAAGACAAACATACTGCAGCAGAGCACAAAGAGATCAAAGTGGAAAGACGAGCAAAATGTACCAGAGTGACAAAGAAAGAAGTGGTTGGCTATGCTTGGGATCACAGGTAGGAAATGAGAGGACTCTTTTAGTAGGTGTTTGGGCAAGCGGGACACAGTGTGGAAGGGAATTCTGAGTAGGAGGGGCAGTCCGTGTGAACACGCTGAGATAATGGAGCCTTTGAGTATGACCTCTCTGAGATCTTGGCTCTGCAACTTGTTAGTTGTGTGACTCTCCATTTGGTCTTCTCATCTGTAAAGTGATAACGTTAATACCTGTCTCAGAAGGTTGTGTTGAGCAGATGAAATAAAGAATTCTCCATTGTGTACCATGTAAACAGTGGACACATTGGATAAATAGTAGCCATCATTATGGAAATATGAAAGGTCATGGACCCCCCTCTGTGCTGGAAAGCCACCCAGAATGTTAAGGAGACCTAAGAATGAACCCAAGCCTTTCAGAGAGAAAATGTTTTCATTTAACTTGTAAAATCCCTGTCTACAGTATAGCCCACAGCAACTCACATGTCCTCAAATCTCTCCTTCCCTCCTTGTGAAATAGGAGTCCACCTATCAAATAAGAAATGCTGGTTGGCCACAAAACCAGAAGAAAGAATTCCATTGCTGTAGTCAACGCAACTCATAGTGACCTATAGGGCAAAACAGTTGTCTCATAGGATTTCCATATCTGTTTAAAAGTAGACTGTCACATCTTTCTCCATGGGGTGGCTGATGTTTCTAGTAGCAGCCAACATCTTAACCATTGTGCCACCAAGCCTCCTCTTGAGGATCTACTAATAGCAAATCATTGTCCTTGAGATTATTAACAGATGAGACCCACCATGATTTTAGGATAGACTTCCCAGTCATGTACGCTTGATTCTCAGATGGCCTCACTAAGAAAGCTCTCACAGCAGGGAAAAAAAACTCTTGTCAGCTACCAGGCTCTTGTAAGAGAAGCAAGCTGTCATTATCAGACTGAGGCCTTCAAGTGGGTGTCTGATTCCTAGGGTGTCTTGTTTCTCTTTCTCTGCCTCTTCCCACGGCTTGGAGCAAGGAAGAGAGAAGCAGGGAGGCAAGAGAAAAGCAGTTGCTTTATTTATCGAATTGCAGAACAGATTTCATGGCTGCTTGGTGGTGGCTGCTCTCTTGGTTCCAAGAAGATCTTGCCTTCTCATTTGCATTGTTTGTAAGAACTGTTCTGAGAGAGTGACCTGGTCACACTGCTGCTCTGAGCCACATGTGGAAGCCACAGATCAATCCCTTTAGTCCCTGTCTGCAGTGAAAGGCTTTGTGTTCATGTCATCTTGCATTCCTTTGAAATCCACAGAGAGAGAGGCGCTGCACTTGATCCACTTACCAGCTACGAGCAACGTGACAGAGAATTCTCCACCAGAGACAGCAGTATACAAGTTTGCTGTGAATTTGTCAGTGTCACTGTCACCTATGAGCCCAGGATTTCCTCTGATAATCAACTCGAGTCCCCTCACTAAAGCCTTCAAGGTGAGGCCATCAGGAACCAACTTCGAGGTAAGCAGCATCTTATTCCACATGCGAGCTGTTGGCCCACAGATCCTCCTACAGATATGGAGGGGATTCTCACTAGTGATTGCGCCCTCCTCATTCCTCAGGTTTGCCTCTCCTGCCTTAAGATATAGGGAGATCTGGTGGCCTCATGGGTAAGAAGTTGTGCTGCTAACCCAAAGGCAGACGCTTTCAATCCACAAGCTGCTCTTAGGGAGAAAGATGGGAAGCGTCCTCCTGTGCAATTTATGGCCACTGGAGGGTCACTTCTGAGTTGGTCCCTACTTGACAGCAATGACTTGAGATACAGAATTTCTGCTGTGGACATCTCTACCATACGGCCCTGTAGGCCTTGGGATCTTTCTCTACTTAACCCAGGCCATCTGAATGGTATAGGCCAACTTTTTAAACAAGTAGAAAACCTAAGATAGCATGTCTTTGGTGTGCAGAGGATGACTACATTCACTGAGTGTGAGAGCTTAGGTACAGTTGTCTGTCTTTCCCTAATGAAATCATGCCTGTTCATTTGCTTTTCCTCGATTCTACAATTACCAGCCCCCCCACCCCCAAGGTGATGAAAGAGAAACCAGCCTTATTTAGTATGGATGACACATATCATTAATAAAGAAATAAATCTAAGTGTCCAGTCTTAGTGTGTGACTGCTTCCTGCTAGGTAATTTAGGTCTAACTACTCATACTTCAGCGTGAGGCCACTGCTGCTCCATGGGCTACTTGGTCATCTGAGTCTTTTGCACACTAACTTTTCCCTTCGATGTGACACATCTATTCACTGTCCACTGGTGACCTGAAATCTTTTAACACATTGACAGCAAATGTGTTTTCTAAGCACGGTCGTCAATTTAAAAAGTGTGCGGCAACGTGTTAAGGATGTCTTTTAGGGGCCAGGTGTCAGAACCTTAGCATCCTCCGTTCCACAGCTGGTCTTTCCTCAGCTGGCAAAGGAACCTCCTGCAGTTAGCCTTGCCAGTGGTCCTGCCCGCCATCCCCTAAATGTCTTGTGGGACTTAGGATTGCTTGGCCCAGGTTCCGAGGCTTCTGAGGTAGTACTGTTGTCGTTGTTGTCAAGTCAGAACTGACACATAGTTGACCCTCTGGTAGGTTTTTAGAGGCAGTTAATCACATTAAAACATTTTGTCACCTTCAAATAAATCCCATAGACATTAGCAATCACTCTGCATTTCCTTCCCCTCATAACTCCTAATACTCATTAATCTTTCTGTATGGGTTTATGTTGTGTATTTTGGACATTTTCTATAAATGTAGTGATGTATTATACTATATGGCCTTTTGTGACTGGTTTCTTTATTTGAGCATAGTATTTTTCAAGGACCACTCATGTTGGAGCATGTACTGATGCTTTATTCCCTTTCATAACCAAATAATATTCCGTTATCTAAATACAGTATGACATAATAGCAAGAAGCTGCACTGCAATCCCGAAGGTACGTGGTTTGAACTGCTCTGTGGGAGAAAGATGGGCAATCTCCTCCCATTCTATCAACTGCCTCTGCAGACCTGCTGGTGGGCCAGCTGTAGGTTGGTTCTGACTCAGTGGTCACAAGAACAACATACATGTCTATTCGTTTGTTGTGTTGTTTCTACTTGAGAGCTCTCCTTTTTTACTCTCTGATCTATTGCTTCTAATACTGGCCATGGACATGCTTCACATTTGCATAGAGGTTCTAAAGCTTCTTCACATGCCCAATCTCTTGATTGTTATAACTCACCTTTGTATTATTATCTTAGGTAAAATTTTCATTCATGTTTTAGAAAAATGATTACTAAGAATTAGCAAGATCAATTGTTTATCCAAGACAGAATTTATCAAGAATGAAATACCAACTTAACTCAGGGTTTGTGAACTCCCTGACTCTCCCTCCTATCTGGCTATGAGTATTTATGACTTCTTTTTGTAAATCCCTAATCCTTTTATTAAAAAAGGATTTACCTTCCAACATTTCATGTGATTCAGGGAGGGCTTTCAAAGTTTCCACAACCTTGCCAGCATTTGTTGTTTGCTGCCCTGTTGAACTTTGCTATTGTTTCTGGGAGAATTTCCTCTTTAACAACTGCTGTATGTCTGTTCCTATAAACCTTGTCAATTGCTTACATTCGTACGTTGTTGTTAGGTTCCATCAAGTCAACTACAACTCCTATCAACTCTATGAAAAAACACATCAAAACCTTGCCTTATCTTGCATCATTCACTCTCTGCCGCCCTCAAGTCCAATATTATAGTCACTGTGTCTATCCATATCCTTGGGGGTCTTCCTCTTTATTTATGAACCCTCTACCTTTCCCTTCTTGATGCTTTTTTTCAAAGTCTGACTCTCCCTGACAAAATGTTCAAAAGCACCATCCTTACCTTTAAAGAGTATCTTGGTTGCTCTTCCTCTAATACAATTTGTTTACTCTTCTGGAAGTCCATGGGGTAGTCAGTGCTCTTCTCCAACACCACAATTCAAAGGCACTTCTTCTTCTTCTTCAGTCTTCTTTATTCATTGTTCAGCTTGCAGATGCATGCCATTGTTGTGTACCATCAAGTTGGAACCAACTCATAGCTGACTTTCCTCCTATGGTTTCAGAGGCAATAAAACACTCAGGAGGAAATAGTCCGTTTTTCTCCCGCTGAGTGGCTGGTGGATTCAAACTGAGTGCCTCTGGGTTGGCAGTGAACCAGATGCATAGAAAACAATGGAAAATACCATGGCTTGCACCAGGCACATGTTAGTCTTCAAACAGATATCCTTCTCCCTAGCATGTTAGGAAGATCCTTGACAGCAGATTTCCCCAATTTAACACACCTTTTGATTTCTTGACTGCTGCTACAATGGGTCTTGATTGTGGATCCAAGTAAAATTGAATAGTTGACAACTTCAATCTTATCTCCATCTGCCATAATGTTGCCTAGGGTCCAGTGGTGAGGATTTTTGTTTTCTTGATGTAAAGATGTAACCCATATTGGAGGTTGTGGTCTTTGATCTTCTGCAGAAAGTGCTCCAAGTCTTCTTCCCCTTCGGCAAGCAATATTGTATCATCTACATAAAACAGGTTGTTGTCAAGTCTTCCTCCAATCCTGATGCCACATTCTTCTTCATATAGTACAGCTTCTCAAATGATGTGTCCAGTATACAAATTGAATATATGTAGAGAAAGGATACAACCCTGACACACACCTTTCTTGATTTTAAACCTTGCAGTGTTCCCTGGTTCTGCCCGGACAACTGTTTCCTGGTTGGGTTGTACATTTGTACAGCATCTAGTCTATGTCAGAAGAATTCCCTCCTCCTGATCCCTGGGATCGTTGTTGTGTTCCACTGAGTTGATTTCGACTCATAATGACCCTATCACAGAGTAGAAGCAGATCTCCTGAGGGGCTTAAACTGCAAACATTTTGGTTCGTAGTATTGGGTCTAACCTCTGTGGCATGAGGCCTCCTTTGTGATCCCTAGCAAAGGCCATTTTTAAAGTCTATTCAGAGTTCACTGCAGTAGCCTGGACCTTGTCTTGGTGCTGGGATGGGCCACAAGTTTACAACTCCTACACCTGTTCCTGAGAATGAATCACTTCTCCATAGAGATAACTCAACACTTGTCATCAGCAAAATTCTACAGTACAGGCTAAGCTGCTCACAAGAGTCCTTCCTGCCATCCACGGACACAGCTGAGCCTGGTCCCTCCTTGGACAATTGTGGCACCTTGCATGATACTATTGAGTCTCTGGCTCAGGGATCTTGTCCCTGTTGGCCTTGCGATCCAGCCACACAGGGCTTCCTGAGAGTGAACTCCAAACCAAGTCTAAGGCCAGGCCTGTCTGCTTTTCAATAATGTGCTGAAGACCCCTAGAGCATAAGGAGGAGTAATGATGACAATGGTAAAAATAATGAAGGTAACAGCTCACATTTATAGAGTATTTACCAAGTGCTACACACCCTCCTAGATATTTTATATAGACTCACTCATTTAATATAACAATACTATGGATTGGAATACTGCTGTGATGTATATATGAGAGGTGGGAAAATGGAGACACAGAAAGGTTGAGTAAACTGCTTAGGCTTGCACAGCCTGGAGGAAACAGACTGAGCATTTGAGATCAGGCAAGTTCGCCCTGGATCCTAACTCACGGCTCTCACACTGGGCTGCTCCCACTACCAGCAAGAGACAAGTCAGAGTCTTCTCCAACCTCCTGTGGTGAATTATCTGTCTGAGGGGTTCCTGTTGGGGCAGCAGCACCAAGGAGGGCTGCTCTGAGAAGCCAGGGAGGAGCAATTCTGCAGCTGCAGGTAGACCTGCAGCCACCAAGCTCTCCAGGGACCCCTGGGGGCTCATGCCCTCTTTCCTTAAGATCTGCCTTCTGTGACCTGGGCTCCCCTTTTTCTACATCTTCTGGAAGGAACACTGCAAACTCTGGCATGACTACTTTGCCAATTGCCCGTCACTTTTCCTAACTGCCAGTCTGTTCAGGCTTGTCCAGAACAACCTGAGACTTAACACACTGAGCGTCAATCCTTACTGTCTACCAAAACGCAGGGCAGGGGCTCTGCAGTCTGCTGGCCTGCAACCCCACAGACACACTCCTGTCTTGCTCTGTGACCTTAGACAGTGCCTTAGCCTCTGCCCTTAGGTTCCTTGAGCGTGAAATGGGGAGACACTGACCAACCAATAGCTGCTGTCAGGGTTGAATGAAATTCTCTCTGAAGTGGCTTGGCCAGAGCCTAGAACACAGTAAACGTTTAATAAGTGATGGCATCATAAAAAACACGTTTTCCTGGTCTTGTTGTTAGAACAATTCCTTTGGCTCCAAGACACACATTTCAGATCACTTTAAATCATGTTATTCCCATCTTTGTGAAGCCCTGGTCGTACAAAAGTTAAGTGCTTGACTTCTAATCAAAAGATTGGTCTTTGAACGCATGCAGCAGCTCAGTGAGAAAAAGACTAGGTGATCTGCATCTGCAAAGACTACAACCAATAGTGAAACACAATGTACATGAATAAAACGCAATGTATACGAATTTTGTATGCACACCGATATAAAATGAAAACCAAAAACTCCTATGGGGTAGTTCTGCCCTTTGGGGTCATTATGAGTCAAAATCAACTCAGCAGCACCTGGCCACATTTCTTCTTTTTGTGTGTTACAGCCAGTTCTCAGAAAGAAAGGATTGAGACCATGTGATGCTGTGGTAAAGGCACTATTCCAACCTGGGGTTCAGGAGGTCATTCCATGCTTAGCAGGGAAATGATAAATCAGGAAACTGCACAGACCAGCAGAGATGTCTCTGGCGGACACACACTCATTATGCTTTTAGAGAACTTGATCAGTGATAGGGAGCTCTGGTGGCCTAGTAGGCAAAGAGTTGTGCTGTTCACCCAAAGGTGGTGCCTCTCCGGTGTTACAAATCTACCAGCAGCTCTATGGGAGAGATGGGCAATCTCCTTCTGTGTGATTTACAGACTCTGAAAACCCACTGGATGGTTCTGAAAGAGTTCTGACTTGATGGCAGGGAGCTGAGTTTGTTTCTTGATAATGATAAAAGCCAGCATTTACTTAGTGCTTGTGTGGTGTCTGACAGTGTTACAAGTACTTTTCATGTCTTGACTAGTTTAATCCTGACAGCAACACTATTGCTGCTGGTGTTAGGTTCCACCAAGTTGAGCATGACTAATAGTAACCCTGTGAGTAACACACCTGAATCCTGTCCTATCCTGTACCATCCTCAGTTCTGATACACTCGAGCCCATTGCTATAGTCATCATGTCAGTTCACCTCAATCAAGGTCTTCCTTTCTTCATTGACCCTCCACCTTTCTAAACATGATATTCCTTTCCAAGGAGTAGTCCAAAGTAGGAGAGATTATAAGCTTCACCATCCTTACCTACAAGAAATACTCTGGTTGCCCTTTTCCAAACACAGCTGTTTATTCTTTTGGCAGTCTATGGGATGGATATTCAGTACTCTTCTCCAATACCACAACTCAAAGACATCAATTATTCTTCTATCGTTCTTATCCTTTCATTGTCTAGCTCTCAGATATATAGCAAGTAATTGAAAAGACCATGGCCTGAATCAGGCACACCTTAGTCTTCAAAGTATATACTATTCCTTATGTGTGAATCATAACAAATTATGGGTAACATTGTGAAGAATGGGCTTCAAAGTCCATGCTTCCTGTTACTTAGCCTTCCTGTGCTTCATTTTCCCTATCTGTAAGTGGAGATGCAAACCCAAGTTGAGTTGAATCAATTCATAGTGACTTGTTTCAGGGGACCTTGCAGAAAGGAGCAGTGACCTCCTCTGAGAAATGGGGTACCTCAGTCAGGTACTCTCTCCCCTGTCGGAAAATGAAGGTCTCTCTTTCTGGTTCCAATCATAGCAATTCTGTAAGCATAATTGAGGACATTGGTGACATTTAGTCCTTGATGTCGCAAAGAGTTCTAGGGGCAAAGTTGAGATATGCATGTAGAACTGAAAGGCCAGAGATCTGGTGGCCTAGTGGCAAGAAGCTGCACTGCAATTCCAGAGGTGTGCGGTTCAAATCTACCAGATGCTCTGCTGGAGAAGGAGGGACAATCTCCTGTACCAATCAGACCTGATTTGATGGTATACACACAAAATAATAAAATAAATAAAATAAAATTAGAAGTGAAAGGCCTCAGAATCCACCACCTTTGTAAGGCAAGAACCTTTAGAAGGTTCAGATCAGTCTCCAGTGAACCTCAGCAAGACTTTTCCACCATTGCCCACTGGACTTCCTGCTGGTGATGGCTCTGGGTCCTGAGACGCTGTCTTTCTGGCTTTGATTCTTGGTGTTTCTTTACCTTCAAGTCCTACAACCCCACCACATCTTCAGGATCCTTGGAGTACGAACGAATGACAGAAGCCCCAGGCAATGGGAGAATGTGTGGAAAGACACACGCACAGAAAAATGAACAGTCTGTTGACATAAGTAAATAACATTCCTCATTATGCAGATGTACCCAGTGCCTCCTCTCTTGTTTATTCTTGGATGTGTGGCCTTGGGAAAAGGAGAATGGGACGCTGCGTCAAACTCTATTTGAATAGCAATCTCAGTAAAGGTATAATATCCAATTCTTAAAAATGATAAAACCCCCCCAAAAATAGGGAAAAAAATATTAAAAAATAAGAAAACCCACCTAACTTCAATGTGGCTGAGAGATTTCTCTAGGATTCTACACTGAGTAGTAGTGGTTTTTTGGCTAGTTTTGTTTTGTTTTTAACTTTTAATTTTTATTTGAGTAGTAGTTTATAGAGCATGTTGGGTTTTCATGCAAAAATTCAGACATACATTGTGTGTGTGTATGTGTGTGTGTGTTTGTTTGACTGTAATCCATGTAATGTAATGGTGCTCTTTCCACTTTCTCCCTGTATTTAGCATTGCCATTTTTCTTTCTTTCCTAGCCCTCCCTGTCTTCTGAGTTTGATCCGTGAGTAAATGCTACCCTTTTGATCTCATACGGTCGACTGTTCTTTGGAATATATATCTCCTTGATGTTATTGTTCACTTTATAGACCTGTTTATTATTTGGCTGAAAGTTGAGTCTTGGGGACGAGTTCAATTCCAGGCTTGAAGGGTGTCTAAGGGCCATAATCTTGATGGTTACCCCAGTCCCTATCAGGCCAGGAAGGCTGGTCTCGTTTTGTTCCACATTTTTCTCCCACTCTTTCCAGAACTTCCTACTGCGATCCCTTCCAGAGCCCCCTGTAGAATAGACAGACCCTATCCAGTTCTTCTCATCTCAGGCTCATGAAGCTAGGGTTGCTGTGGTTCATTACTTTAAAGTAAATAGGTTTCTGAGTCTTTGATTTTCCTCATTCTTCTTTACTCCAGATAGGAAGAGATCAATAGTTGGATCTTAGATGATGGCTTTTAAGTTTTTAAGACTTTAGTCACTACTCACCAAATAGAGATTTCGAAGATAGTCTTTAAGGACTATATTGTGCCTATTGGCCTTACTGTCTCATTAGTGATGGGTGTTTAAATTCTTGGGTTTTTCTTCTCCAGTAAATCTTGGCAGTAAGTCACTTGAACACTTTTCTTTCCTAAAAATTGCAATATTACCCATAGGAGTTTCTTTAATGAAGCGTCATGATGCTTGTGTTAAAAGAACTTTGGAAAAACCACTGAGTCCTCCAACAGTGAGTCAGAGATGATCTTTGAGATGCCAGTCATTTCCTTCCTGATAACACCCCTTTGCTAAATATGTGTGCGCAAAGCAGATCTTGTTCCACATGGTTACTGAGGATTTTGCGTTTGGTTTTAGGTTGTCACCACCGGGAAGGAGAAACTAGATTTTGAAACAGGACCAAACATATTTGATTTGCAAATTTATGTGAAGGATCAGGTTGGTACCACAGACCTGCAGATCCTCACAGTGCAGGTAACAAATGTGAACGAGCCGCCTCAGTTTCCAGGCAACTTGGCAAAAGGTAAGCTATGCTGGCGTGTGCAATCCAGCCCAGGCGGTGGTGGCTTCAGGGAGGACACTGGGCGACAAAGAAAAACAGAATGCAAATAAACAAGCAGCTGTTTTCCCAGGAAAAGGCAGCTGCTTAATGAGCAAGAAATAAATGAAATGTGTCCTGCCCAGCACTCCCAATAATAAGGCTCAATAGTTGACAAAGTTGACACATTCATGGTTTCTCTTGGCTCTCTCTCTGCCCTATGGTGGAAACGGGGGCTCAGAGACGAGGTGATCCTTCTAGAGGAGCCTGACCCAAGCCCATCCTTAGCTTATCGCTATACACTACATTCACTGACTAATGTATGCAGTCTCCCATGGCCTTTGTGTATCCAGGGTTCCCTACAGAAGAGGGACAATATAAGGCACACCATCTCTCCCAGGCTCACGGCTCTGAAAACAATCCATTTACTAATAACTTCTAAATCTGCCTTTCTAGTTCAGATCCTTTCTGGAACTTCTGATTTAAGTATTTAACTGTCTTCTCTCAACATTTCCACTTGAATGTCACTGCAAAATTAGTGTGCCCCCGAACCAAACCCTAACTCTCTGCAGCCCCACTTGAGTCCACTTCTCCTGTGACTTTCTTATGTCAAACCAGTTGCTGTCAAAATGCCTTTCATTCATGGCAATATCAATATCAGCATCAAATGTGTTGGGATAGAACTGAACTTCACAGAATTTCCTAGCTCATTTTTAGAAGCAGATAACCAAGTCTTCGGAGACACCTTTAGGTGTGTTCAAGCTGCCAGCTTTTGGTTAGCGGCTGTATGTGTTAAACCTTTTTACACCCAGAGATTCTTTCTCCGTGCTGGTTAGTGACAAGTCCATCCTTTCAGTTGCTTGGGCCAAAGTCCTGGAGTCATTCTTGACTCCTTTCTGTCTTTAACACTCAACATCAAACTCATTAGGAAAACTGAGAGCAACATAAGAACAACATAACCTTAGCATCCTCCGTTCCACAGCTGGTCTTTTCCTCAGGTGGCAAAGGACCTCCTGCAGTTAGCCCTGCCAGTGGTCCTGCCCGCCATCCCCTAAATATCTTGTGGGACTTGGGATTGCTTGGCCCCGGTTCTGAGGCTTCTGAGGTAGTACTGTTGTCATTGTTGTTGACTGTCAAGTCAGAACTGACCCATAGTTGACACTCTGGTGGGTTTTTGGAGACAATCACATGAAAACATTTTGTCACCTCCAACTAAATCCCATAGACACTAGCAATCACTCTGCACTTCCTTCCCCTCATAACTCCTAACACTCATTAGTCTTTCTGTATGGGTTTATGTTGTGTATTTTGGACATTTTCTATAAATGTAGTGGCATATTATACCATATGGCCTTTTGTGACTGGCTTCTTTAGCTTAGCATAATGTTTTCAAGGACCACTTATGATGGAACATGTATTGATGCTTTATTCCTTTTCCAACCAAATACTCTTCCATTATCTAAATACAGTATGACATAAATAAATAAATACTAAGGTTATGTTGTTATTATGTGTTAGGTACCATCGACTATGGCTCATAGTGCCCAGTGAGCAATCTCAATGAGGTCTGAACTGTCCCTTCTCCTTAACCATCCTCGCCGTTTCCGATATTCTGGAGACGATTGTTCCAATCATTGTGTCAATTCATCCTGTTGAGGACCTTCCTCTCTTGCTCTGACCTTTTACTTTCCTCAGCAAAATGTCTTCTTCCAAGGACTGTTTACTCCTGACAATATGCCCAGAGTATGTGAGATGAAGTTTCTCCTCAAAGAAATGTGGAATTCGTGTTTTGTTTTTTTTAATCCCTGGTTCCTAAGAGATACCCTCGAAAACCCTGGAATTTCCCTAATGATTGAAATTTCTTTAATGTGGCCTCCAGACCACACATAAAGGTTGTCAATGCAGTTCCTCTTCAGCTGAAGTCTGACCAGGCCAGAAACACCCACCGTCTCACAGCAGGAGAGCAAAATTCATTCAGTCAGACCACATAAGGAGGGCCAGTGAAAGCTCTGGACACGGATGCTCCGTGGGATTCCTGCCTGGTGACCGTTATCAATGTGCACAGGAGAGTTGCTGTTGTTGTGTACAGTAGAATTGGAACCCACCCATAGATGACCCTCCACAGAGTTTTTAGAGGCAGTTAATCACACGGGAGGAGATTGTCCATCCTTCTCCCACAGAGCAGCTGGTGGTCTCGAACCACATGCTTTTGGGATTACAGCACAGCCTCTTGCCACCAGGCCACCAGAGTACATCCTCTTTTTGGGACATGGAAGGTTTGCCTTGAGAAACCTCCTAAACAATTGCTCTAACACTGTCTTTACTTGTATCCTTTTTACTACAACAGAGCTATAATCACAAGAATAGGACCTTTTCTAAGTTGTTCTAGTGGATTGTTAAAATGGAGTAGTGGAAGTCCCTAGGTCTTAAGTGATAGTGTCCTGGGGACTCTTAAGCTAGTGACTAGCATCTGAACTCTCAAGCAGCTGCTGCAATCTGGAGGAGTATGTTCTTTACCTCACGAGACCTAGCCTGATTCTGAGTAACCAGTTAGGATTAGAAGAAGTGCCAAGTGTGCAGCTGGTGTTAGAGCAGAAGGGGAAAAGAATTGACAATGAATTAATTTGGATTGTTCAACATATATTTGGTGTCAAAGAAATGGGATTTGATTTTCAGAACAAGTCAATTGGTTTCCCACTTAATTCTGTTTTCCATGCGGCAGCTAGAGGCATTCTGCTCAACTGTCAGTGAACTCACGGTTTTTCTTTGCTTAAACCCCTATATGTGAAAGCTGGAATACGCCTTATGGCTTCCTCAGATCTAGAAGAATCCTCCCAGTCACAGTTATGCCTGTACTCTTCCCCATGCTCTCCCTACACCATCTGTTCTACATCTGTTCTGTACTGGTCTCCTTACTGATCTGTGATTACCCCAGATGTGACGCAACCTGATGGAGTCCTAGTGGCACAGTGGGGAAGCATTTGACTGATAAGTGAATGAAAGGTCAACAGTTTGAACTCACCAACTAGTCTGTAGAAGAAAGATGTAGCAGTTTGCTTCTGTAAAGATTACAGCCTCGGAAGGCAGGTGGGGAGGTTCCAAGCTACTCAATAGAATTCCTATGAGTTGACATCAACTAGACAGCAACAGGCTAACGGAACTTTGTCTCAACACCTTTACAGTTACTGCTTTAGATGCCTCTTCCCAGAGCTCATTTCCTTATGAGTCTCAACTCAAGTGTTCCTTCCTCAGGAAGCCTTCACTAACCACTAATTTTAAAACTGTACCCCCACCCAATTCTATAAAATTCCCTTCTCCAATTTTTATCCATCCCTGTTCTTATTAATATTCAGATACACATAGCAGGAAATCAGTAAACATTTCTTTAATGAAAAACAAACCTCTAGTTATGTTCAGCCTGATTCTAATGTATAGTAACTCTATGTGTCAGGGCACAGCTGTTCTCTGTAGCCTTTTCAATGTCTGATGTCCTCAGATGTAGTTCACCAGACTTTTAATCTGAGGTGCCTCTGGGTGGATTTGAACTTCCATCTTTTCTATTTGTTATGGTTGTGTACTGTAGAGTTGGATCTGACCTATGGGTGACCAGTAGGTCACCAGAACCTAGTGGAGTTTTAGAAATTTCTATGAGATCTAAGTTCACCTTGAGATATTATAATCATCTAGTTTATGAGTAATTTGTACAAAACACATTGGAATATGGCCTCAGCTTACACTGGAAGTTCCTCCTTGTGTTTACTTTCCAACAAGCTTCCTTTGTCAGTTCACTCGTCCCGTCTCCCAAACACAGTTCTCCAGGTAATCTCTTAATGGAAGAAATAAATGAAGACTTGCCACCACCTTTGTTGTCCCTAGTTCTTTATTAATCCATGTGTTCATGTAAATGGATAGACTTTCTTGCACACAAGTCAGCCAGTGGTTTTACTCATGACCTTTGTTATTGACTCCTCTTTTCCACCATGTTAATAACCTTGACCCCCTATGAAAGTGTTTGGCTATCTCAGTGTTGGATTTCTCCATTTGCTTTACCTAATAAAATATTTCCTCCCCTTTGGATGTGGCCACAGGCCTAGAGCTCTACATAACAGAAGGCACAAAGCCAGGACTGATTTACCAAGTGGAGGCCTTCGATCCAGAAGACACAAGTCAAAACATACCTCTCAGTGTAAGTTTCTTTGTTAAAATGAAGAGGTACTTGTTGGGTTGGCTTTGATATGAGGGTCTAATGGCCTGGTGTCTTAGTTTTGGGGTAGGAGCTGGTGAGTAGAATTGGGGGGGGGCATAGTCTGACTACCTCCAAAGCACACAGTATAAAGGAATATTGTTGGAATGAGTAAGGGGGCTTTGGAGATAGGCATTCCAGATTGGACTCATAATTCTGTATGATCTCTGCAAGCTCTTTCTCTCCCTGGTCTCCCAACTGTTGGTCAGTAAAATGGAAACCTTAACAGCACCTACCACCATAGAGGGGAGCTCTAGGGACATTGTCTGTAGGGAGTTTGGTTCAAACCCACCAGTGTCTCTGAGGGAGAAGGATGGACAGTCTCCGCCTGTGTGATTTCCAGGCTTGGAAACCCAATGGAGGGTCAGCTAAGAATTGGTTCCCACTCGGCATCAATGAGAGAGACTTCAATAGGGAAATTGTGAGCGTATATAGATGATGTAGGTAGAACCACTGACTTAGCACCCTGCCTGACATCTAAAAATAGCTTCATATTTTTTGAGTGAAGCTAATAAAGATCCATCTATATTTATTTTAAAAGTGAGCAAAAATATGTGCCCTAAAGCCAAACATTCATAGGACTGAAGTACGCACGCGTTTCAGCTCAGGAATTCAGGGTAAGTGAAAATGTGCTGACGGCATGGATGGCAAGGATCACATCCATCCTTTTCAGAAGACAAGCTGCTTAGAGTCAAGTGTTGTGGGTTGTTTGTTTGTTTTTTAAAGTCCCAGGAATTCCAGGCTGTCAAGAAGGAAAGGATTTTAAAGTGTTGCCTCCTAGTTCAGTCTGAGATAGCTAATCTGGCTTCTCTCCCTTTTTAATCAGCTTCATTAATCAGCTACAGGGCACCTCTTGTCACCACTAAGCCTCTTGACTGGACCTAGCCATCTCAGCTCCTTTCTGTGCCCACTGGGCTGTCCTCCCCACAGCTGGACGGGGAACGAAAGGAAGCTGATGCCTAACAATGAAACCTGAGTAGGCCACACTCTTGGAAATGCCACCACCTCCAGAAAAGAGAACATTTGAAACAGACACGCAGTGACAGCTAACACCAGGAGGCTGTCTCTACTGTTAGCAACACGATTTGCAGCTTCAGCAGGACTACTTCTCCTAAGGGAAGGAAGTGAGCATTGCAATTAACTTTAGCATTAATATAGCATCTCCAAACTCCATAGAGGGAGCTCTGGTAGCTTAGTGGTAAGGAGTTGCAATGCCAACCCAAAGGCCCCTGGTTTGAATCTACCAGCTGCTCCAAGGGAGAATGGTGAGCAGTCTCCTTCTGTGCAATTTGCTGTCTCCAAAAACCCACTGGAGGGTCAGTTCTGACTCAATGGTAATTACCAAAAACAACAGGCTCTATAGAATCTGAAAGCTAGTTTAAGTTAACTGGACACATCTTAAAGATAAATGTAGTTTCACTAGAAGATGAGCCTTTGCCAAGCAAATCATCCCTTCATTCATGCTTTAATTCAAGACTCCTTCATATCAATGTTTGCATGAATACGTGAGTGGATATGCAAACACATACTGGTTTCTCATTTGGTACCAGGACGATGCTTATTGTTAGCTGCAATTGAATCTGCCCTAATACTTGATCACCTCATGTTTAGCAGAGCACGATGCTTCCAAGTCCTGTGCCATCTCCATGGTCAGCTGCAGACCAGACCATAGTGATCCATAGGGTTCTCACTGGCAGAGTTGTAGAAGTAGATTGGCAGGCCTTTCTTCCTCATCTGTCTTAGCCTAGACATTCTTCTGAAGCCTGTTAATCCTGCAACACTGGCTTCTCCTTACAAATGGGTGGTGACTGTGAGGTGCATTGAACAGAAATCAAACTTGGGTCTCTCACATGGAAGCCAAGAAATCTACCTCTGAACCACCATTTCTCTGAGTAGGAACAATGCTAGATGCTTTAAAAGTGGACTTTTCAGTGATGTACTTATTGTATCAGTTTGAAACATCTTTGTCATTCCCTTAACACAGAATCAGAAACCAGATTTTTTTTTCTCTCCAATGATAAGAATCTAAATGTAGGCACGCAGCCCAGAGCTGACGTAGCTAGCTGCTCAGGCATGCTGTTGGAATGTGTGCGCTTCCTATCTTACTGTTCACCCATCAACAGTTTGTTAATTTTGTTCACCTCATGGTTATAAAAGATGGCTGCTGTATCTGTAGTCTTCACCTCAGAGTTCCAAGCAAGGAGGAAAAAAGAAAGTTGGAAAGTATAAAGGGTAAAACAAGCATCACTGGCCAGTCTGTTCCTTTTGGGGGGAAAGAAAAGGAAAAACTTTGCTGGAAGCTCTACCAGGGGACTTCTGCTTACTTCTCGTTGACCAGAACTGTGTCCTGTGGTTACTGTTGCTTCACTGTGACCAGAAAGATTCCGAGTGGGGTTTAGGTCTGCCACAAAAGAATAGTATCTCAGTGAAATATTTATTTCAATAGTTACTGGCCATCTGCTATGTTTTAGTCAGTATATTTGAACACAAGTCCACAAGAATCAAAACACAACTTTAAATCTACATCACCTGAATTTAAAAATCATCTCAAGAACAAGTTTGAGACATGCAACACCAATGATTGAAAAATCAGAGGAGTTATGGGATGATACCAAGGATGTCATGCATGAAGAGAGCAAAAGGTCACTAAAAAGAGGAGACAGAAAAAGCAAAACGGATGTCAGAAGAAACTATGAGAATTAAACCAGAGCAGGAAGAAGCCAAAACAAAGGGAAGAGATGCTGAAGTAAAAGAAGATTTCAAAAGGCAGCTTTAAAAGACCAAGCAAAATATTATTATGGGTTATTATTATTATTAAGAGCTAACGTTGGAGACTAAAAAAGGGAAGAATTTACTTGGCATTTCTCAACTGAAAAAATTGAAAAATAAATTCAAGCCTCAAGTTGTAATGCTGAGAGATGCTATGGGCAAAATCTATAATGATCCAAGAAGCATTAAAAAGGGGGTGAGGAAATGGGAAAGATACATTGTGAAAAACAATGTATCTGAACTTGTAAATAAACCAGTATAATATAAAAATAAAGAAGATGGAAGGAACACACAGAATGACTATACTAAAAAGAATAGCTTATTCTCAGTAGAGTGACACTGGAACATTTCAGGAAGTACCACAAGAATATGAACCTATAGTAATGAAGGAAGAAGTTTAAGCTTCACTGAAGGCATTGGCAAAAATAAGGCCCTAGATATCTATGGGGCATCATCTGATGATACGTTTCAACTAACAGATACAGCCATACACCAGTTAGACAGGAAATTTGGAGGACAGCTGCTTGGCCAACAGACTGGAAGAGATTCACATTTTGTTCTCATTTTCAAGACAGATGATCCAGAAGATTATGGAAGGGGCATTATGCTTGGAAAGGTGCAGGGCCAGTAATAAAGAGGAGGACCCTCAATGAGATGGATTGACACAATGACTTCAGCAGTGGGCTCAAGTGTGTCAGAGATGATGAGAACAACACAGGATGGGGCAGGGCTCAAATACATTGTTCATCAGGTCGCTATGAGTCATACTTGCTTAATAACACCTAACATTTGGACACAGTTGAATAAAGCACATTTGTCTCAACACCTTTACAGGCTGGGAAGGTATTACCCGGACATACAAGAAACTATGATTTAATATAAAAACTGCTGAAAATTTGTACAAGATACTGTGGGGGCAAAAGGCATGGAATCTCAGCACTGAAGAAAAAGAATTCTTATAAAACCTCCATCTTTAGTCTAGATCTCCAAAGTGTGCACTGGGATAAGTCCATTTAAAGGACACAGGTGCTGGCTTTTCTGAGGAAAAGGAGCAGCCCAGGTGAGGAGCAGAAGTAGTTGGTGTCGCTCCTTTAAGAAAAAAGTGGTGCCTTCAAAATGGGTGCTAGAGCAATTGCTTGGAACCCCAAGGTGAAACTGTGGCAACTGCAGTGAGTTTAGGGTTATTTGGGGCAGAAGGAGCGAGGGGGTTCTACAAGTGTCAATGAAGTCATTAACACTTTTACTACAGCTGGCTGTTGCACAGAAAGTATACAGCGAGCCAATCTACAGGAGCAGCAAACAGTCTAGAACCTTCCTCAGATTAGGAGAAAAATAATAAGAGTCTAGGAAGCAACACATTGTGACCTTTATACCTAGAAATAAGCTTCTCTGTGCTCTGGAACACTAAGTAATACGTTCTGTAACTGAAGAAGATCATGCTAATGCAAAACCTATACTTGGACCAAGAGGCAGTCGTCACAACAGAGCAAGGAAACACTGCATGGTTCAAAATTGGGAAAGGTGTACACCAGGGATGTGTCCTATCTCCATATCTTTTCAACCTATTTGTCGAACAGATTACCCGGGAGGCTGGGCTCTATGGGAAGTGTGACATCAGGATTGGTTGAACATTCATTCACAGTCTGCATTATGCAGATAACACAACCCTGCTTGCTGAAACTGAGGAGAACCTCAGGACTGTGGAAGGTCAAGGACTGTAGCCTTCAATATGGATTGAGGCTCAATATCAAGACGACAAAGATTATCACCACTGGGCCAATTGGCAGCATCAGGATGGATAGTGAAGAGATTGAGATTGTTAATAGGTTTAGTTTGCTTCGCTCCACAGTCAACACTCTTGGCACCAGCAGCCAGGAAATTAAAAGACGTATTGTGATGGGAAAGTCTACTCTTAGGGACCTCTCCAAAGTACTGAAGAACACTTGTGTCACTCTGGAGACTAAGGTGCTTCTGATACAGGCCATGGTTTTTGCAATCACTTGCTAAGCATCAGAAAGTTGGACAATGATTAGGGAGGATAGGAGGAGAATTGATGCCTTTGAGCTGTGGTGTTGGAGAAGAGTATGGAATATACCATGGATTGCTAAGAAAACAAACAGGTTCTTCCTGGAGAGGGTTAAACTAGGCTGCTCCTTGGAGGCAAAGATTCTGAA